GCAGGGCGGGCGGAGGAGACAGAGGGGGCAGAGAGGGGACAGAGGGACAGAGGGGACAGAGGGACAGAGGGACAGAGGGACAGAGGGGACAGAGGGACAGAGGGACAGAGGGACAGAGGGGACAGAGGGACAGAGGGGACAGAGGGCTCTGGGCACACGGGAGACCCTCGGGGACAGAAGGTGACAAAGCCCACAGGGTCACCAACCACCCCCAGTGCCACCCCCAGCCTGGGGACACCCCCGGTGCCACCCCAGACCCCCAAAACCACCACAGACCCCCGGTGCCACCTCCCTTGGGGACACCCCCGGTGCCACCTCCCTCGGGGACACCCCAGCCCCCCGTGTCACCTCTCCTGTCCCCTCCGCCCTCCTCGGGGTCCCCCGCAGCCCCCAGCAGGGTGAAGATGATTCCGCTCTGCGAGTTCACCCCCACGGCCGTCACCACCATCCTGCCCGAGCCCTCCATGACGTGCGTGCCTGGGGACATCGGGGTCACACGGGGTCACCAGGGGTCACACGGGGTCACACGGGGTCACCCGGGGTCACACAGGGACACCCGGGGACACCTGGGGTCACCAGGGGTCACTGAGGAGTCTCCAGGGGTCACTCAGGGGTCACCCAGGGGACATTGGGGTCACCCGGGGTCACCAGGGGGTCAGCAGGGGACATCGGGGTCACCCGGGGGCCACCTGGGGTCTCCAGGGGTCACCCAGGGGGGGTCCCCAGGGGTCACTGAGGAGTCTCCAGGGGTCACTCAGGGGTCACCCAGGGGACATCGGGGTCACCAGGTGTCTCCAAGGGTCTCCAGGTTCTCTCAGGGGTCCCCAGAGGTCACTGAGGGGTCACCCGGGGGTCACCCAGGGGTCCCAGGGGTCTCCAGGGGTCACCCGGGGGTCAGCAGGCTCCCTCAGGGGTCACTGAGGTGTCCCCAGGGGTCACCCGGGGGTCCCCAGGGGTCACCCAGGGGTCCCCAGGGGGCACCCGGGGGTCACCCGGGGGTCACCCGGGGGTCACCCAGGGGTCCCCAGGGGTCACCCAGGGGTCACCCGGGGGTCACCCGGGGGTCCCACGCCCCTCACCCGAGAGCAGCAGGGGGTCTCTGTCCGGGCCCTTGCGCACGTGGTCGCTCTCCCCGGTCAGGGCGCTCTCGTCGACCTTGAGGTCGTTGCCCTGGATCAGGACCCCGTCAGCCGGCAGGAGGTCACCTGGGGGTCATGGGAGGTCACCTGGGGGTCACCTGGGGGTCATGGGAGGTCACCTGGGGGTCATGGGAGGTCACCTGGGGGTCACC